TAAATGGAAAGCAACATGGCAGATGGCAACTGGCCTTTAACATCAGTACGTCTTCCAAGTACATAAAAAAAGACAATGGTTTGGCCACAACACACAGCAGGAGCAAGTGGTTTGAGTGCATGAAACTGTTATTTGCTCCAACTGCCTGAACCAACAGGATTCAACCAGCCGAGGTGTGAACACACAGCGAGGCACTGTCCGTGATGCGATCAAAGCTTTACTTAGGGATTATCTGACTCTGTGCTAGCGCTCACACAAAACTGATGTCAATGACCAGAAGTCATTAAGAAACCCCACTAAGATTTCAGGGGCTTAAGTAGCAGAAAACTAGTCCTAGCAGAAGAGTGAGAGTGCCTGTGTTACGTTCTTAGTCATCTAGCTGAAATTTAAATACATTTTTTGCACAAAAGATGAGTCCTCTGTCTTTGTTACAAGGCCTCATTGTTTTGGAATAAAGTTTACTTTTATTTATTTATGTATTGATGTTATTATGTTATTAGCCAGTTCTCAAAGAGCAGCGGGGCATCAGCTAACCTATTGCTGCTCTGTAGATATTTGTTAATGAGACACTTAGTCCTCTCTTCCTGAACAAAGCAACTGAGAATTGATGCTGTTTTTCATCCCATAGATTTTCTTACTAGCTAATAATATATCTGATTAGCTGTGTTCCTTTCCCAGATGAAACTGGTTAGAGGGGTATGCAAGTTTACTTTTTCACAACTCTTATCTGTAAACTAAATTAAAAAAATAAATAAATAAAGTCAGAGGAGGGTGATTATTGGTGTGGAAAACTGAAAATCATCACATTGAGAGGTAGATAGTAGCTGCATAAAATAAAAAAAATAAAAAATGTTTAAAGTTGCAGTTATGCCAAAATTCGGTTTGCAAGCAAAAAGCTTACGCTTTTACACACACACACGCCAAAACATTAATACACATTATTACAAATTGATCAGGCTTGGTGCAACTGCTTTTAAAAGTTTGAAAAGCTTCTCTTTGGAAGATGCGTAGCATTTTGTGAGGCGCAGAAGCACCTCCAGGCTTCACTTTGTAAAACAAGCTGCTCCCTCTGCAACCTCAACCTGCAATATTTACCCTTAACGCATCGTGTTTGCCACAATAATAAAAGTAATCTCCAATCCAAATGTCAGAGGCGTCAGGGCAAGTGGTGGGAAGAGCTTTATAAATGGACAGAGTGGTTTCTGAAGCCCGAGGCAAATGTTTGTGATGCTGTGGAGCAGGAAGTGAGACGTGCATCACCCTTAATGAAATGATGCTTTCTCATTACTGTGCTGTCTGAAAGGACACAGGAGCATCTTTCTTCAGGTAACACCACTTGAAACTAACTCTGAGGCAATTTTCACCCCGAGAAGCGGCGATGGGAAAAAAAAAAAGAGGTCCGCTTGAAATTCAGTAACATTTACAACGACCGTGGGACGGTTTACATTGAGTTTGTCATTTTGTCATTTTTTTCAGTCGTAACTTTAATTTGATAAATTCATGCATCTAAGTTGTATTTAAAGACTTTGTAGAGAACTGTAGATATGCATATATACAAAGTAAGAGTTATTGTTTGTGTGCACAGATTTACCCAATAAAGCTCACTCTGAATCTGAACCAAACTTTGAGAAGTTCATGAATCTCTTTCTGATATCATATTTCTTTTCACTTTTCCAAAATGTTACATAAGAAAGCATGGAGTTGCCCTACAATACATCCACAAGTGTGTGGAAATCAGAAGCTTGCAAAGCCATGACATCATTTTTGATATTTATATATTCAAGACATAATTCCCCTCATTATGCTAAGTATTTAGCAAATAGAACTAATCTTGGTCAACCAAGTAACCTAATGAAGAAAAGGTTAAGTCAGGATTAATGTCTGACAGTGAGATGAAAATATGTCTTCCTAAACCGTTTAGACAAATGTCGGCAGAAAGCTGATCTATTTCATGAAAAAAAAAAAAATACTGTTTGGTGTTTTTTTTATGTTTTTTCTGACAAAAAAAACTTCACTTTAAATCAGTCATGCAGTGTCTGAATTTCATTTTACTTATTATTTTTTTTTTTTTAAGTAAGCAGTGACATAAGTGAAGAAACATTTTCTTTCCTCTTTATCCTCCCACATCTGGTCTCTCCAATCTGTGGTCAGCCAAAACTGGTTGACCAATTACCTCATTGTGAATACCATTTTCTTTTAACATTGGTTAATATCAATGTCTAGATGTATAACACATAGGGTCGACAAAGCGGTCTTCTTAGGACATTAGATGAATGGTGATGATCAACTACTGGGACAGAATCCACAATAAGGATGTCACCCTGGAAGAGGAGCAGCTCTGTTGTGTCCAATAATAATAATTATGGTAACTACCAGTTTTAACCCGGCCCCAGCTGCTCCTGCTGGGTCCACAGCTGTGTCCCCAGAGAAAGAGTTCTCCCTTATTTTGTTTTCCCACCCACAATGGGAGCCCGGAGTTCAGGAGATTTGGGCTGCTGCGAGTCAGAATGGATACTTCAGTGGTTTGTGGGAAACACAGGGTCTCTTGGGGGGAGAGGGTCAGTGTCTGTGCATCGTTTCCTCCCATTACAGTAATAAGAGCAAAGAGTGCGTTGCTGCTGTTTCCAGACAAACTGCTTCAACGCGCAGGCTCTCTCTTTGATGATTCAGTGGCTATGAGAAGGCAAAATTGCTCTCCTTTCATCTCCCTGCCTCCATCTTCTGTCCTTCCAACTTTTCATGAATGTTTTCCCAACAGGAAAAATTGGCACAGCACCGCCTCCTGTGGGAACAAGCTCATTTAGATTCTACATAAACACACACTGAGTACCCCTGTTTTCTTTCCCAGACGATGGTTCCGTTCGACCTGAGCTTCAACAGCTGGTCATCCTCCCCAATTCTGCTGAAAAAACAATCTTAATAATTTGTCATATAATTTTCCCAAATCCATTATGGGGTTATTCCTGGCAGGCTGCTGCTCTTGGAGCTTTGTGATTGCTTGTTGTGGATCTCTTTTGTTCATTGTGCATACACCGGCCACCCAGACGGTTCAGCTATAGAAAGTGAGTCATAAGCAGTGGGCCAAATGCCCTTGGACTTCTCGCTCTCAGGTTGCTTTCTTCAAAGAACATGACTCACCCTGCTTTCAGGTTCCTGTTCCTCTTTTTGTCAAGAAAGTTTCTCCTAGCTCTCAACGTTGGGTCATTAACCTCCCTGGGGGTACCCGCAAAGAATTCAGTCTACACCAGGAAAGATCTCATCATCATTGTCCAGAGCTCTGATTTTGGTTCCTGTAATCTACCAGTTTCACTTCCAAAACTCCTTCACGAGTTTCTCCAAAGGTTTTCGGGTCGGTTTTACAGGATTCAGGTTTCTGATCCATATTTCAGAGTCCTTCTGTGTGTTTCTGCAGTCAGTGGGCCACCCTCCAGTGCTTCAATGTGGGTTCTCTCGGTCATTTGGCCAGCCTGATTGGGCTCACCTTGTTTCCATGTCATCAATTGGTTCTGATTTTTCTTCTGTTGTTTGCACACTGGTTTTATATCATGGTCTCTGTGTTCCTAAGTTGACTTTGTGATCTTTCTTTATTAGATTCTTTTTATCGTTATGCTGCTTTTGACTTCACGTCTGCACTTTGATACTTCTCCTGCAGCACTACCCCTGAGTAAAGGAGGATGGATGTAAGTACATGTCACACTTTAATCTGTGGGGGGAAAAAAAAAACATGCATTTTATTTCTTCCACTTTTTACAATTATGCACTACTTTGATATGGGCGTAATTTATAAAATCTCAATAAAATTTACGTTGGTGCTTAAAACTCAGGCAGTATATGTACTTTTACAAGGCATGTTGCTAACAGAGTTTGATTTACTCCTCCAAAGTTGTTAAGGTTTTTGTTTTCATCCAGTTTCTGACACATAAAAATAACATATTTATAGACCAGTGCCTAAATTTTAATATAATGCTGCTATGGTTGAATGTGGCCACTCCATGCAAGGATATAAGCCATAAAATACCAGTTTTACTTCAACACCCCACAATTTTAGTTGTGTTTAAAACAAGATTTGCTATCATGCATAGTAATAAAGAAAAGTGTTTTGGCGACGGGATCTATTTTATTGTGTGTGCCGTAAACACAAACACACACTTATTGTAGTTAGCTTTATAACTTCCTCTTTTCCCACAATATTTCATGCCATTAATCTTCATCTGTGCCCATGATGGTGGGGAATAATGGCATTAAAACATAAATGGGTCAATGAAGCATGAGTTTTTTGTTTTTTTTTCTTCTTCGCTACCTTTAAAAAGGCTTGAGATGCAGCGTGTCAGGTCGGAGTTGCATGAAATATGATTACCGTAGCTCGTTTGTGTGACAGCCTGTATGTTTGGCCCCAGGTAATGAGTATATTTACACATATGTCATTTTGCATTCTTTCGTCCTTTGGGAAAAGCAGTCCAACAGTATTCAGACTAAAGAACAGAGTTGTAGAAGTGCTTCCCAACCTGTATCCTCAGGATTCAGGTGAATCCGACGCCTCTGATATGCTGTGAAGGGCCTTAACTGTTGGTCATTATGTTCTTCAGAGGCCTGACAATAACAACTCAACTTAGATCTGATCTTAAAGCGCATGCACTACTGCACCTTTCCATCCTTTCTTCATTTTTCAGGACAGCATCCCAGATCAGAGAAACACTGCGCTACAGGAAATTCAACGTAGAGAATTTTGTTTAGATATTTTGAGCCTAAACAAAACTGTTTACAAGACTTTCAAAAGCACATTTCATCAGGGCTCTTTTGGGGGCATGAGAAAAAGTTATTTCAGTCATGTCAAAGTCAGACAATAATACTTCTGCCTGAAGCATCTGTGCACTCATTGGTCAGCAGCTCATCTCCCATCTGGCCCCTATATGGCTGCCTGCAGCTCCTCTTCACCTGAGAAACCAAGCTCAACTCCTCAAACTGTAGGTGGGAAAAGATGAGACAACAGACAGGGAGTTTTCTCAAAGTGCCTGAGCAGTTTACTTTCACAAACTTTAGAGTGTTTCTGGGAACGTCACACAGAGGAGACCCCATGGCAAAGCCAGAACTCATTGGAGGTACTACATATCTGTTTCAGCCTGGGAACATCCTTGGACCCCTCGCAGAATGAGCTGCAGATTGTTGCTGTAGAAAGTGACTTCTAGGTTTCCCTTTCAGATCTATGATCTGTGTTATAGGTCTTGAAAAGGTGAAAGACTGTGGACATTTAGGAAAAAAAAAGGTCCAGCTATAAAAATCAACAACATTTAGGCAAAAGTATGTAATCCACTTAAATAAAATATTAAACATGTTTTATTCATTTATTTATTCAATTCTTCTTCATATCAACAGTGTGGAATTAAGAGTCTGTGGGAGGATTGCTGTTTCTACTCTTGTACACCTGAATTGACTGGGATTTCTAATCTCTCTGCTACTTGTAAACATTTTTTTTTCTTCTTCTGAATAACTCCTCACAACCTTTGACCCTCACACCTGAAGCCGTTCTGCAGACCAGTCACCTCTCCGTCGTAAGTCCAATTCTGTGAAATAAAGGAACAAAATTATGAGTTCTCGGTGGCTATTTGTCACAGGCAGCAACATGGTGTCAGATGGTATATCCAAGAGTGAACTTTGATTTTACCATTTGGAAACAGTGCAGGGGTGTTGGGTCAATATATAGCAAGTGGCAGATTTTATCCTCAGGGTGTTTCCATCTCCGCTCCCTCTGCTGGGGATGATATTATATGCTGTAATTCAGCTGCAGGAATAATTGACCTGTCAACGGGTTCGGGCCACCGGTCCCATCACTTGGCTGCAGCGACCCTGTTTCTGTAGATTGATACATCCTGTTTCCCCCTCAGAGGTCTAATAGTGTTTTAGCCAATCTACACTTACAGAATGATGAGCTGCTGCTAAACTAGTCCTCAACACAGAACTCATAAAAAAAAAAAAATAAAAAAATAAAAAAAAACAGGAGGGGATGCTGAACGCAGCCCACCTTCCCCTTGTTCAGGTTTTCTTTCAGGCTGATGCTCATATTCAGGACGTGGAGCAGCAGACTGTTACTAAGTCATCCAAAATCTAAACTCACCTGACAACTGAGGGTCGGAAAATGTCTGAAACGGATGATGCCTGGAAACAATTTCCTTATCATATTAGTGCTTTCCTTTTAACCCTCTAAAAGGAGCTTCATCAAAACTTAGAAAAGAATAGCAACACAAGAAGTAAGTTTATATATAGCTGTATTATATATTTTTTTCAATTACAACAGATATATTTTCCTCACAGTTTTAAGCCTTTAGTTACTGTAAATTTGTAGGCTGTTTTTTTTTTTTTTCCTATTCGACAAAGCAGGAGCACATTTCTAACAAAGATGATTGTTAGAAATAATCGTTTTAACAAAAGATGATTTTTTTTTTGTTAGACAGAACAAAAGACATAAATGTCTTTTTTTTATGTCATTTATAAAAAAGACATTTATAAATGTCTTTTTTCCCACTATCAAAATCTGACATTTTAGCAAGGCTGTGATGTTTGGCTGTGGAAATGTTTTGGTGTATCCCAGCTGCCACTGAGCCAAGGTAAGTGGATAAGGTTAACACAAGGGTTCTTTTCTGTTACTCCTTTGCCCAAGTGGTTCTTTCAATTATTGACGAATGAGGGTTCTTGATGCAGTGCCATCTAAAGGGATTAGAAATCATGGGTGTCCATCTTAGGCGTGCTCTGAAATTCCTCCCTGTTGCTTGAATGATTTTATGATATTCTCCACGGTAGAGGGAGAAATATGCAAATTCCTTCCAATTTTGCTTTGAAGAACTTTGTTTTCCATCAGTCTTTTAAAATTCTCACACATATATGTTGTCAAATGTGACATAATCTAAACAGCTTGGACCATCAGAGAAACTAACTCTCCACAGTGAAGCCTTTCTTTACATCTCCACAGAGAGGGCACCAAACAAGGCAGAATCCTGTTCAAAATAAACACTACTATACTTGACTGAATATTACTCACATGGCCAAGCCAAGGGCATTTTGAGAACAGACAAGAAAAAGATTGAGCAATACAGAGGCAGGAAGTATTTATTTATTTATTTTTCTTTAAGTAGCCAAGGTAAGACTGTCAAATTTGAGAACACCATACTAACTGCCCAGAGAGGTTGCAGCATCTTGCTGTGGGGCAGCTGCGTTCAATGAAGAGAATGGAACAAACAAGAAAAACTCTTTCTAAATCTTCCTTTTTCAGCTAAAGGGTAAATTCACACCTTCCAATCCGGTTGACCGAACAAAGAGTTGTAAATCAGTAATGTGTATCAGATCATGAGCAGAGAAAAAGAACAACACTGTTGTTCGTTTGAACAAAATCATCTTTTGTTAAAACGATTATTTCTAACAATCATCTTTGTTAGAAATGTGCTCCTGCTTTGATTGTTTAAAAAAAAAAAAAAAAAAAAAAACTGTGCAGTGTTATCTGCAGTTTTCCCTATCTTGCACATTTATCTATCAGGTAATACGAGAAAACACTGCAAAGGTAATGCTTTGGAAAATAACTAGTTTTCTTCCTAAGCAGACCAATGATTGGATATTCCAATCTGTGTAAAATAGTTTGAACTGATGAACATAGAACCTTCTAGCATCTGGAGATTGTTGGATGAACCAGACTTGTGCAGCGCCACAATTCAAGTAAACTCAAGTAAGATTTATCATCCCTAAGGGGCAACTTGTTGTGCACCTTGCTGATGTTTTGGCTGATTTTTTTATTTATTTATTTTTATTGTGTCCAATAATAAAGTGCCCCCTTGTTTTCCACACATGGCCTTAATCCACAGGTGTGCCTCTGAGTGTCAGTTAACCTATGAGAAATTTCCAAAGCCATAACATCATCTTGGTGTTACCTCGTAGTTGAAAAAGTTAGTAATCATTCTATCTTTTTTATTCAATAGAAGCTAATCATTATAAGTTCCATTCTTGGAAACTTTAATATTCAAATGTCTGACATATTATATTTCTCAGTGTTGTGGTATTTTGCAAATTGAACTAATTTTGGTAATTCTGACATTAAACAATAAAAGTTGGGCTTTTCTTGAGACAGTGAGGAAAGTGTATGCATCTTTTCTTGGAGTATGCTAATTTATGGTTTCAACTGGATTTCATTAAATAGTTTTAGTTCTGCTTGAGGACTAAACACTAGAAAATCCACATGAAATCTTGATTTCCTCACCCAATTGTTGTTTCTAAAAATATTGCAGTTAAATGTGGTATGATTAAAAAAAAATAACTTTCAGATAAATCACTAAAAAGCTTCTTATAGTAACTATGGTAACATCAATTCAACATTTTAAGCCGAAAGGTGACAGGTTTTTTTTTAATTAGTGTGACACAACTATATCTTGTACATCTGATTACTTTCAGTACTCAAATAATTGTAGTCAAATGTGTAATGTTTAATGTAAATTATACATCTGATAATCTAATTACGACATTATTAGGAAGGCTTCTCCGGGGAACATGTTTTTTGCAATCATGGGAATCTCAGTCTTTCTCAGTGAAGCCAGCCTTCTTCCTGTCCTTCCATCTTGTTACGGAACAGCAAAACCAACTGTGACTAACGAAGGAAACTTTTCACCTGAGTGCCGAGGATCAGCCATGTAGAGCGGGATATCACCAAGACAAACAAGATGGAGAATGTTGCTCCAGCTGCTGCGTGACAGGCATGACCGAGAATGCAGAAGATCCAGATTTTACCTTTGACAAAGACACCCTGCTCCCATTTGTTTTCTCTGCATCAACGAATGGATTTAATTTGTGAGACAATATTAAGAAAAGTTTGTGGGAAAAGTTGTCAGACTCTGAAGTGCCGGTGGGGTTCTTCCTTTACCTATACACTTTAGTTGTTTCTTTCTTTAAGCTGTCAGTCAGAGAAGAGCTGGAGGTCTTTTTCTTTGATTTGTATCCAACTCAAACAACATCTCTCCATGCAACCAAGTGCGTCTCGTGGGAAACGAGCGCCCTCCTGGCCCATGAAAAAGCAGCCTGAATCAACATTCACAGGACACATGGAATCAGATTCCAGACGCTCCATACTCCCTGTCTGACTCCCCTGCAGGTGTTTACATCCAGGCTGCAGATTAAAGTTGTACTGAGTTGTTTTTGTTTTTTTGTTTTTTTCACCCCCAAACTCTATACATCACCGTACACATCAGCAGATTGTCACTGGTGTGCTTTTTTTTTTTTTTAATATAGCTACTCTAACATTGTTTTTGCACAAGAGAAAATCCCAAACAAGATGTGTAAATAAAGTGTAATTAGATTTTTGAACTATTGGGTTGATATTAGCAGACATCAGGTTTTTCTAGACCCTACTTTGCAATAATACAAACAGCTACAAGAGATTCTTCTCATAGTTGTTTGTACTGTCTCTGAAGTACCTTGGATAAATATGAGTGATAATATTTATCTTCCCTTTGGGATCAATAAAGTATTTTCGGGTTGAATTTGAATTGAATTGAGCTGAATTGTGCCACTCGGCTCGTCACAATCTCATCACGAGTCATTGTGCAGAAGACAAGACCAATCTAGCCAATTGATCAGGAAATCAGATTTCTGTACTGTACTGCTGTAAGCATGGACCCACTGTTTGCCAGAACAATATGCCAGTGAATGATGAGCTGTGTCACTGATAGCAGTGGCGCTGATAAATAACAAACTGCAAAACAATCTCCTCACAGTCACAGCATAGAGTGAGAAAAACAACCTTCAAATCGTCATGAAAAGTTTCTGAGCAGAAATTAGACTTCAGAGAGAAACATTATAATTAACTAAATACTCCAAGGACATAAAAATCCATTCTCAGCCTCAGCAAAAATAATTGCACTATTATTTTCAGCCATAATTAAGTAGCTAAGGCCTCTTACAAGTGTAAAAAATTTAATCCGTTTTCTAAATCCTATATAATTTAATGTGGGAGAAATCAAATAAATAAGTGGCTCTGGCTCTTCTGTGACAGCGGTTGATATGGGTGATTAGGTGAGCAGGGCGTGAAGAAGCCCATTAGGATTGTATGGTGTCATCACAGCAGCTCCGGGGTGGCGTCCCTAATCCACTCCTCGACCCACAAACGCTCGCCACTTTCCCTCCAACGGCTGCAGCGGCGGCGGTGGCGGCGGCACCGCAAAGACGAGCGGCCGCTGATTGATTCTTATCCCGCTAAGAAGACGGGAGGCAGATAAATGCCGAGGTAATGAGAGGCAATTATGAGGCATGAAAAGCTTTATTATGGAGTAAAAGTGTCCTCGTGTCGCCTATGTTACAGTAAGAGCTGAAAAGCGGAGAGTTTTCAGGATAATCAGGTCCACGTTGAACAGGTCAGGTCCCGTAAATCTATTTACTTTTAAAACGCTCAGCTGCATCAAACACGAGATACACAAACACGTGGGAAGCTTCACATGACATAAATGTGTTGTGTGTTTCAGGTAGGGACATTTCAACCAGTTCTCCTGTGAGCGACCACATTTTCTGGATACGTTGGGTCTCAACATATGAAATAAGAAGCTCAAAAAAAGTTTTGATGGCAGAAAATGGTGACAGCAAAATTTTAGTGTTAGACTGTAGATCAGTGGTTCTCGATTCCAGTCCTTGAGGAATGGTGTCCTTTAGTTTCTAGATATATCTCTGCTTCAATACCTGAGCTAATAATAATGAGGTTATTAGAAGGAATCTGGAGAACTTCAC